ATGTTTTGCGTTCTATCCCGGCTGTCCTCCCTCTCCTCTGGAGCAATCATCGCCGTGGTGCCTGGTTCTTTTTGATTAAAGCCTACATAAATATGTCTATTGAGCAGTAGTAGGCTACTATATCAACATAGGAAATGATCCGTTCAAAGTAAAATTCAATAAGCTTGTTGCGCTGAGAGCAGCTGAGCATTCACAGCTATGGCTTGGAAGTAGGAATAAGAAAGGTATTGCGAGGGAACACAAATGTATTGCAAGGTAACGCAAAAGTATTGTGAGGGAATGCAAAAGTATTGCGAGGGAACGCAAAACATATTGCGAGGGCACCAGCTACTGGTTGATAGAGCTGTCACTCGAGACTGCAAGACCAGGCAGACCAATCTGTGCACTGCCTGGATTGACTACAAGAAAGCCTATGACTCAATGCCACATACATGGCTACTGGAATGCTTGGAAATGTACAAGAGCAACAGGACACTGCAACAGCAATGACATTGGAATGTCGTTCGGACTGGACAAGTGTGGTTGCCTGGTATCAAAAAGAGGGAAGATGATCACAACCGAGGGGACTGAACTAACAGAAGGCCACATTGAAGATGTTAAGGACAGCTTCAAATACCTTTGGGTGCTGCAGGCTAACGGAAACCATGAGGAGACAGCAAGGAAGTCCGCCACAGCCAGATACCTACAGAGAGTAAGGCAGGTCCTGAAAAGTCAGCTGAATGGGAAAAACAAGATCTGAGCTATCAACACATACCAGTCATCAGATACCCCGCTGGTATAATAAACTGGTCAAAGGAGGAGATAGAGGCCACTGACATCAAGACAAGAAAGCTCCTTACAATGCATGAAGGGTTTCACCCCAAATCCAGCACCCTGAGACTGTACTCCAAGCGAAGTTAGGCAGGCCAAGGGCTAGTGAGTGAGAAACGACAAAGATCCAAGAGTACATCAGGAAGATGGCCCCCGAAGATGAAGGACTTAGTGAATACCTCAGGCAGCAGAAACCCGAGGATGAGGACAAGGAAGATGAAGAACCTTCAGGGAGGGACAAGCCGCTGCATGGCATGTACCACAGACAAATAGTAGAAGTGACTGATATCAAGAAATCCTACCAGTGGCTGGAAAAGGCTGGACTAAAGGACAGCACAGAAGCACTAATCATGGCGGCACAAGAACAGGCACTCAGTACAAGATCAATACCACACCAGGCAGGTCCCCAGGTGCAGACTGTGCAAGGATGCCCCTGAGACAGTACAGCACATAACAGCAGGGTGTAAGATGCAGGAAGGAAGTGCGTACATGGAACGCCTTAACCAGGTAGTATGGGCTGGAAGTCCCATGGTTAAAATGGAAGACACCTCCTAAGGTAGTTGAGAATGACCAAGCTAAGATCCTACGGGACTTCAAGATCCAGACGGACAAACTGGTGATGGCTAACCAACCAGACATCGTGTTGATCGACAAACATCAGAAGAAGGCTGCAGTGATAGATGTGGCAATCCCAAGCGACAGCAACATCAAGAAGGGCTGAAAGAGGAGCTAGAAAAGATGTGGAAAGTAAGAGAAACAGTGGTGCCAGTGGTGATCGGAGCACTGGGGGCTTTGACACCTAAACTGGAAGAGTGGCTACTAGTGTTGTAGTACTTGAGACTTTTTGATGGTCTTGGTCTTTTCTCGGACTCGACTGCATTTGTACTCAGTTTTGTCTCGGTCTCGGACATTGAGGACTCAAGATTTTATTTCAAGACCAGTCAAGACCATAACTTTGGGAATATCGATAAATTGCTTTTGTATTTCTGATTTATTTGTTAACATCGTAACTTTGATTGGATGTAAAACGTATTGCTTCAAATGCAACCAATAACACTAAATAAAAATGTGTTATTGTTATCGTTAACACACCTATCCTTGATAAGCATGGAAAAGGAGTGTTGAATAAAGATGCTTACGTTGATTTCAGCTCTTAGTGTTTGCATGTGGGTGTTTTAATGGGAATGTGGATCTTTCAGATCAATTTGAGAAGTACCTATGATCTCGTTCCACATTTTATTGTGTGTCATGTAATGTGGGGAACTGGTCTTGGTCTTGACTCGGTCTCGCCCTCCCTCGGGCTTGGTCTCGACTGGTCTCAGCCCCTAAAAGTCTTGGTCTTGTCTCGGTCTCGATAAACTCTGGTCTTGGTCTTGACTTGGTCTCGGTTTGGGCAATCTTGACTACAACACTAGTGGCTACAGCAGATCCCAGGTAAAACATCAGAGGTCTCTGTCCAGAAGAGTGCAGTCCTAGGAACAGCTAAGATACTGCACAGAACCCTCAAACTCCCAGGCCTCTGGTAGAGGACCCGGGCTTGAGGATGACACATACCAGCCCACAAGGGGTAAGAGGAGGAATTACAGTATATACAGTATATTAGGGCTGTCCCCGCCTAAGGATTTACATAGTCAAATCAGAATCATCAAGTCCTACCTATAGTCGACTGATAGTCAAATCATGTGTGTTTTTGTGCATGGGGATTGCGAACGGTGGGGGTGCTTTACACACAGTAGCTCCGCTTTACACACAGTAGCTCCCCTTTAATCTTGAGAAGCTGCAGAGCTGCAGTCTCTATTCATTCAACTTACACTGTAAATTTCCAGCTAAACTGAGGCTTTTTGAAGATCCTTTTCTCCCTGTCTCTCTCTCTCGCCTGTCATTCACTGGTCTTGTGTGAGTTTTGCGTGCATGCCGTGCTGCCGACTACTACATGCACGTCGCGTTCCTCGTGCGTCTATTTCAAGTAGCCGGTCTTTGTTTGGTTCATTAACGGTGATAAATTATCAAAAAGTAGAGCAAGGTGCGGACAACTCTGCACGACACCAGTGATCAGTCTCTTCAGCAAGTGTTCCTCTTCCGCCACCACACACACCGCCTACACATGCGCACTGACGACCCAGGGTTAGGGTTACAATTTTGGATTTATTCATGCACTTTAAAAACATTTATTGGAACTTTTTTTCTTTTTACATGTTTATTTACAGCATTAAACGTTGAAATGTATATTGTAATAGGCTGTAGATTAACTTATTGGGAGAAAACTGGTAGTTCTATGTAAAATCAGACGTTGAGCACCCCCATATCGCCAAAATGGCATGATGCTTGTTTCACTGCAAAGCTTCGACTGTGAGATTGACAGTCGAATCCAGCTCTGCCCATCGAAGCATCGAATCTTTGACTATATATATATATATATATATACAAAGAAATTTAGGATATATACAAAGAAAGTTAGGATCACAGTGATAAATGTTCAAGTAACACAGAGTTTAATAAACTATTTATTATATACATATTTATACTACATGTGTGCTCCTTCTCTTTGTGTTCAACTATGGTGTGAAAGCATTAAAGGACTATGAAAGTGAAGACACTTGTATCTGGACACTTGGCATTGGCCTTAAAAATTTGTCACAGAGTTATATAATATTGAAACAGTTTTGAAAATTTGACATTGAAAACAGCTTTTAAAACACAGAACACTCATCACAAAAAACTTTAATGGGATTGGTGCTTGTGTAGTTTTTGAACCAGGGACAGATTCGCAATACACCAGTAGCAGAAGATAACTCCTCCTTAAAACAAGTCAACTGGAAACATTAAAAAGTCAACTGGAAACTCATGGAGCCAACGTAAACTTATTTAGCTAGTTAGCTACAGCTGATAGGATCTGCAGGTAACATTTGTTGAAATGAGAAGCTGCTTTTATCTATCTCTATCTGAAATCAAGGACCCATTGTTTCAAAAAGTGCAAAAGAATATGGAAAGCTTGACAGGCATAGCAACAGTAACTAAGGGGGTGAAATTTTATAAATGGTCAATGATGGTGATGGTTAATTAGGCCATGTGCAAACAATTTATACGATTAAACAAACAAAAGCAAAATGGGTTTTGGAAATAATTCAGCATTACATGTAGTATGAGAGTGGATTTTCTATTCTATCACATCAACCGCCCCAAGTAGGTAAACTGAAATAATGAATTAACCACATTAGAATAATATGTTTTCCAGTAACACATTGTAAGTGAAAGATTAAAACTGTGTGACTGTATTTGCTAGGTGAGGTGAATCAAGATCATTCCTGTAGCAGCCTTCTTTACTGTATATCAATCAATCAATCAATAAATTAGTAACTTATCATTTGCTATTAGAAAACGAAACTGCAGTATGATGAGCTGATAAACACTGAAATGGAAGTGGCAGTAATAAATTACCAACTCAGTCAGTGAAGTCACAGCAGGTGTTTTCCTTCACCTGTCGCCTGCTGTGACATCACTGATTGCATTGAAGGTAAAAGTGCAGCATGCTTGAACATTTGAACTTACAAGAAAGCAACAGCAGCTGTTTGCTCTGTTTGGTTCCATGTGGGGTTAGTCTTTAAATGTAGTGTTTGGAATATACATACAGTACATATAGTAGCCACTACTTCTGTGTTTGTCCCCATAACAGGTTGTTTCAATGGAATCAAATTACTTTATTGCAGTGATCCAAACACAAATTGAAGAAATGCAAACCTAAAGCCAACAAAAAGTTTAATTCACCCATTACAACATTAATGCATTAGATATGTAGTTATTTTCAAAATGTTGTACTAATGTAAGCATGTTTAAAGAATCATGTTTTATTTTAGTTTAAAAAATCAAATGGTTCAAAAAAATGGTTGAACTGAATTTTGTTGTTGTAATTTTAGCTTGACACTAATGTTATATTGCTTCTTTCTGACAAAGTTAACTTGGGATTTCCATACATAAACTGGCGCTTAGATGTGAGATGATATATTGGCCACAGACTATACTTGCTTAGGGGTGTGGTCATCTCCAATGTACCTGATAAGCAATGGTCATGGTCATGGCTTGCCTGCTCCTCAGAAAAAAACTTCATCATCCCTGTTGTTGTCTCAGAAAGAACATTTTGACGTCAAGTAATATTCTCTCCATTTCTCTCCTTCTGTTCTTTTCCTTTTCAGTGTCCCTTGGTTTGTGACTCTGCGTCCCATGCCTGCATCGACAGAGAAAACAACCCTCTGACAGGACCAGGTATGATTCACACCTTGGACATGTGTCACTTCTTCCTACTTCTTGATGTTTTACACATATTTTTACACGAGTAAAATGGCAAAAATTCACCTTGTAATGGCCATAAAGAAAAACTCTATTATAAAATATATATATATATATAAAATACTATATTAATGTGATGTATCTATTTGACCTTGGACTGGCCTTGAATATGCTCTTCATTAACACGATTTGAGGCATCCCATTTGAATATCAATAAGAATATTAATGTTTCCTGCTTTTATTAAATAGAAGTCCTGGTGTATTTAGGCAGTGAGAAGAATAGTGGGAGATTAATGACAAAGAGGTAAACCCTCTTTGTTCTTTGTTGGCTAATTCAAGACGAGCAAAAGATGCGATGCTAGCTGTGTGAGACTAATTTAGTGGCGACACAGAAAGCTAGCTCTCTCAGTGGTAGAGAAAGACAGACATGTAGACAGAAAAGGGATAGACTTGAAAAGGCCATGACTCCTGCTGTGTTGAAACTTCACAGTCCTTGTTCAGAGGAGACTTGGGAAATAGTTTCCTTTTTTCATCCCATACATTCATTTGTTCCACACATTCATTTTCTTTTTTTTCCAGATTCCCACCACCCCCTTAAGCTCCCTGCAGCCCCCACGCCTGTTGTCATGATGTCATTGACGCTTACTGTTTCTACTGTGATTAGCTAGAGAACTGCAGCCACGTTTGCAGGTGCACATCTGCAACTCGTCAAAACAATACCCTCCCTGCAGATCCCGCCAGATTGAGTAATGCAATTTAGTCCTCCACTTTTATTACCTTTTGAAATGAGCATGTGGAGAGCAGGGAGATAGGGGAGCCCACGCACAGCATGTCACAGGAAGTCATTTTCTTAAGAGGTGTCGGGACGGGAAACAGAGGCATCGGATTGGTGGTCAGATTAGTGTGGTGGCAGGGGGGAGTTCAGGGGTTAATCTGCTTCTCTGACGGAGGTGGAAGTCGGCAACTGTCACATCTCCGATTAAGGTTGTGCCCTTACCCCCCTTCTCTCCATGCGTCTCTTGCTCCCCATTTATTTTTGTGATCCATTTCACTTTCTCTAATCCCCATGCCAACAATGTCTGAATATCACATTTAATTTTGTTGCAATTATACATCCTTTCTGGGGTCATTCAATTGCCAGGCTAAACCTTAATCATCTTTCATTTCAACATCAACTTCAGCATCATAGAGAAATAATAATGCGCCTCTCTATAGCCTATTTGGCTTACAGTTATTGTCCTCAGAGCCTCTGTCGTCTTTATGTACTTGTGTGTGTATCCACACTTTATTGTTTGCATATGATGATATAAAAAATTTGAAAATAAATTGATCTGAAATTGGCCTTTTTAATAAAATAGCTTTAAAATATGTTTGTTGTTTTGATACAGAACGTGCATTTTTTAGTAAACACAGATATGTGCTAAACAGTGATAGAAAAAGCTTTTGTGCAGAGGCTCAGAAGTGTCTTTAAATGTTTAAAAATAATGCCACACATGCCTCTGAGAAATATCCTACCAGATGGTGCTTTATTTCTACGGTGCTCATCTGTACTGTAATGGACTATTTGTCCAATTTAATCTTGCATAGTTTTACTGTTAAAAGAAAAGTCTGGCATTGCAATCAATGGAAGACAGTTTTTTTTGTTTTCATTTGGAATAGGGCTGCAACTAACGACTATTTTGAGAGTCGATTAATCTATCGATTACTGAAACGAATAATCAACTATTCGGATTATGAATCGCAAAATTACACAAAGCATCTTATTTAGCTATCAGCTTTTAAATTAAACTTGAGGTTGTTTTAGGGATGTGCTAATTAACAGTCATGACAGTAAAAATCCATGATTTTTTACGGGAGTTTGGGACGAATGACCCGCCGACTCACGCATAGACAGGAGAACTGTTTTCTCTTCTTTAAAAAGTAGAAAATTGTCCGGTGTTGTTTGATCTTGCCCACTTGGCAGCAACACGTTCTCCAGCTGGAAACGTCGCCATGAGTGATGCATCGTTTATGATTGTTAGAGCACATCTGCCACGGAACGGGGTCATTGTGTATCATAATTATGTGCTACTCTCAGTGCCATTACTGTAACAATCAATTATTTGACCAAGGGAAACTGTATAGAAAACATTACAGCTCATAATGTGAAGTAACACGGCTTTAACGTGTAGCTAGCTCGCTAACTAGCTTACCAAGACGAGTCTTGATCATCCACAGAGCCACAACGTTACGCGCCTCCTCTTCAAATGCTCTGGTTTGTCCAGGAAAGCTTAATTTTGCAGACGCTGCAGTTCACAACCTTTTTGGCTGTGTGAAGAGTGAAATGCTCCCACACTTTGGATATTTTAGGTTGTGAAGGTGTTACTGCAGTGCTGATGTTGTGTTGTTTTAGTAACGTTACTGTTCACATCACTTTACTTTGTTAAGCTGACGGTGTCTTTACGGCCCGATGACGTCATGAACGAAACGGTTATTAAATTTGTTGGCAACAACGTCAACATCAACTACGTCGATTAGTTGTTGCACGCCTAATTTCAAATGTTTGTCCAAAATTCACAGCCATCACACTTGACATTGCATCTTATATTAATATCCTCTCACTACATAAGAACTCCCACTGTGGTGCACTTTCTTGGACCCATCTGCACTGAAGGGCATCACTGAACTTAAACACTTGAGGACAATGAATAGCACAACCAGGATTAATGACTCAGGCACTTAGACAGATGACTTTGACAAAAGGATAATCTGGGGCCAGATCATGGTAAAGTACAGTATGAATGGTAGTGGGAGCACTCTCTGTACTGACAGTAGGAGCAGAAGTGTGGCTCCCACTTTGAATTTAAGCAAACATTTTACTGGTGCCATGCATGTTTGACTGCCTAGAGTAAGATTGTCAATATTTCACCCCGGGTGCTTCAGCTCCGACTTATTGAGTGACTTCCTTTATGACTGCAGCTCTGGAAACGAAAGGGGTTAGTAAAAACTGTTCAAGGCACACAGCTTTCTTGCCCTCTGCTGCCAGCATGCAGATAAGAGCATTAGAGCTGTTTTTCGTTTTGCAGCTATTAGCCACCCTCTGCAAAAAATGAAGAAGATGGCCGTGAATCTGAATCGATTTTAATGGGAGAGCTGGGCAGTGGGGGTAGCAAGCAAAGTTTCAGAATGATTCAACTGCCTCTGCCCCACTGTTGTACAATAAACAAGCAATTAAAATGGAAATGGAGGAAATAATAAGGCAAAGATTAACAGGACAAGGTCTCTGTATTTCAGTCTGGCTGCCATTGAAGTAGAAAGAGAGAGAGAGAGAAAGCCTTGGAAGATGAGAAACGCCTTATCTATGGCAGACACAGTTATTGATTATAGAATTTAATTTGTGCTTCATACCTCATGTGACTTTTGAAGAGCTTCTATCTGTAGGTCCTTGAGGTTGCCAGTTGTCAAAGTTGTTTAGATCTTCTCTTCTCCCTTTGTAAAAATTTAAAAAGTTAGGATCATCTTTGATGAGAACATGATGTATTTTCTGCTGCATCAGATCAATACACCTTTCTTTCCTCCCTGTGTCTTCCTCCCTGTCTCTCTCAGTGTTCAAGAACCCAGTAAGCAAGGTGTACAGATTTCAAACTATGGACAGCAAATGGATGCTCGTGCGGGAACAAATGGAGGAGTGCACGTTGTCCTTTAGCATCCCCAAACAACTGCTCTCACTGTATATCCAGGAGGACATGAGCAGGTAAATCACTTTGAAATCATACTGTTGATCCTGTGGATGTCACTGCCAGCTTTCTCATTGCATCAGATAGCTTGTTTCCTGTTTGTGCAGGAGTCAACTTAGCAGCCAATGGAGAACCATCAAAGGTTCAAAGTAAAACTCCAACCAGGTGTTACCTTATTATGCGTACAGTTGGTGTATGTAGTTTCTAGATCATCTTTTCCGACCCAGTTCACCAATGTAAATGACTATTTAAAAGTTCCGCCTATATTTGGAGAGGAGTGAATTATTCAGAACTGCTTAACACTTCAAAAGAGGCTCCTATGGCTCCCAGTCTTCTCACTAAGCATGGTAAGAAAGCACCTGGAATATGCAAACAGACAGAAACTTAGCTATAATGCTTAAGATTTCAGTCCTGGTTAATTTGGCGACACCCATTGTTACTTGTAGTAACAGCAAGCACAGGTTAATACTCCAGGTCGTTTACTTCTGGGGGGACAAAGCACTACTAAAGCAGCAATTTTGTCAGAAATACAACAGAAGAGGAACTATTGTATCTATTAACAGCGTTGCCAAACAAACTCATGTTTTAATAAAGAAGTCAGTGGCCTTTTCCATTATGCCATGAGCAACTACGGTCTGACTTAATGCAGCTCACAGTGAGAGTAGTTTTCCACAAAAAGGCAGGTCATAGTAAAGTTGGTTACCTTGCTGAAGAGCTCTCTTTATCTAACAGCTCAGTCTGGCGTCTCCTTGTTCCTTTACTCCCTCCAATAGGTGAAACCGATCCACTGCCAAAAAATTATGATTTTCCTTATTTGGATTGAAACTTTGAGATATATTTTGTTGTGAATAAGTGTGTTTGAACACATAAAAACTGCATCATTATTTGAATCAGGGATATAACTGCAATTAAAGTCCAGTCCAGTTAATACTGTGTGAGAATGAGGACAGGTTAAAGCAAGGTCAGAAGGAGGTGATGTTTCACCAGTCTCTGAATGTGAACCCGTAATTAGATCAAAGAGTCCCTTCCCTCAGGCTCGACCAGTGTTTGTCAAGGCACATCATTCCTCAACTGGCCTGTTGTCCCTGGTAACCCCCTTTATCATACACAACGCACAAATGCATCTACATACACACACACACACACACACACACACACACAGTTTAAGAGGATTTATGCTCACATCAACACATGGAATAGGCACAAAAAAGATGCAATCACAGATTTGGATGAACTTGGCAGGGGAGAAGGGTTTGATTTGTAATCACAGTGTGCACCTAAAGGATCTCACACACAGAGTTCAAGGACATGCAACAACATAAACACAAGTGCAATCATACCCTCCACTACACACATTCACATAGAACCAATCGCACTGCCATTATTTACCGATTTGACTAGACGAGCTTTGTTATCAGTTTACCTGTCAAACACAGTGGTTCCCACATTACCTCTCTCAGTATCTCTAAAGCCAGACTTTTCAGGAATTTTGGGCCAATTTATTCCAGATTCAGCCCTCCCGACAATCGGACGAGAAATCTCAAATCCAGTCTTAAACCTCACACCTATTTGATATTTAGGAAATAATATCTATATGATTATGTCAGTTATATCTTATTACATCAGTATTTTCTGATCGGGACAATAGCCAATGACAGACAAGTCTACAAGGAAATGGAAGCATTACAAGTTAACGTTAATCCCGGGGCAGCTGACAGTGTTGCCAAGCAATGGTAAACATTCCAGCCCTTGAGGCTAATGTTAGCTAGCATACTACTGTTGACAAATATTAAAACTGACAGTTAAATCTCACCTCCAATTGTTGTTGAAGAGTAGAACCCATGTTGACTGCGTCTCACCAACCATTTTCTCATCCAGACGCGTGCCTTCTGCTTCTGTTTTTTCTCCATGCAAAGTATTGCAACATTACAGCCAGTTGTTGCACCATGTCAGTCTCCATTATCTTTACGTCTGCTCCCCCATGAGATCACCTGAGATCATGTACCTTACATGCATTGCTCCCTCTGGCACAACAATCTTAATAATATCCTATAGTGTGTGATGCGCCATTATTTTCAAATCTCGTAGTGTGTGCTTGTTTGAGATTAGAGAGAAGAACATTGTACTGCTTATGTACGTGATGCTACCCTATTTCAAAATCGGTTAGGATTTTAAAACTTCTGTAGTCTGAGCCCAGCATAACTCTACTTTCTGTTTAAATAGAGGACGATCTGCTCTGCAAACTGATCATTTAAATCACAACTAAATTTAGAAGACAATTATATTACATGTATTAAATATCTTATCGGTATAATACTAATGCTCATGAGCAAACCATGAATACCATATACAATGTTTGTTTATTAACAGGCATGTGTACCATATCTCCAGCTCGGCCGCTTAAGCACCTCTTATAATCTCTATAATCATCTTTAAATGTTGTCTTTCTCCATGGTGCCTCTCTATTTAGCCGATTCTGTCAGCCAGCCTGACACTGGTGCTTGCTCTGTTTCTTTAATGATTCAGTTAGTGCCACAAAGTTGTGAGTGCAGCGGCGGATGGTGGGTGGCTTCGTTTGCACTCTATGATAATCTTGGATATTTCTTCCTTCTGTTTGTTCGCTTTGATGTCTAGAGTCATATTCTAATCTGACTCTGCAAACATAGAGGTGGCTGATTTTTCTTCATTCCTGCGGTGAAAATGTGACTCTTGCGTGTGTGTGTGTGTGTGTGTGTGTGTGTGTGTGTGTGTGTGTGTGTGTGTGTGTGTGTGTGTGTGTGTGTAAAGATAATTAATGCATGTGTAGTGAAGTTGTCAGCGTGTGGGTGTCGATTAAACCCCATTTATTAAGAGCTGTTTGGTTTCTCATTAATGGAAAAAACTCATGTTCCCCTTCTTTTCCTGTTAATAAACAAGTGCTGTGATCTTTTATGAAGATCGTATAGGGGACATTTTGTCATCCGGCTTTAAGGTTTCCAATTGTTTTGTACATTCAGGACCAGTATTACTGACTGTGCTTGTTGGATTGAGCAATTTTTTAGAACGAGCTGCACATTATGCTGAAAGAATGGTTTGCTTTTCAGTCCTCTCACACAGTTTTTATTGACCCCACACACAAAGCCCTCTGATTAAATTGAACAGGCACTATAACACACCACGGAATAAAGGTACCCATATGACAGGTCTGTGCTCTTTGGGAAATGTATTCTGTAGTCCCAGTCATCTGTCCTAATCAGTTTTAACACATTCTACTTGATTTGTCCATCCTTTCATTTTCTCATATCTGCATCATGTTTAAGTCAAAACAAATGACTAAACTGCGTCAGCTATGTCTTTATATCAAATCCCAATCATTATTTAATTCTTAGTAATGACATCATGTCTCCCTTTCTCCTTTCTCTCCTGCCTCCCCTTCTATCTCTATTCTTATTATAAATGTTTTCTATTTTCAATTGTTTTCTGTTTGTCTGTATCTATTTATTTCTTATCTCATATTCCAAAAGGCAGAATTTAGCTTGTGATTGTTTGGAAAGTGTAATTAGCTACTGCTACTGAATTATTTCAAATACTTTGTAATTTAGTTACTTTTGAAAGAATGTTTTTTAGCCTTCAGAAAAGAATCAACCATCCAGATATACAGTGTGTGTGTGTGTGTGTGTGTGTGTGTGTGTGTGTGTGTGTGTGTGTGTGTGTGTGTGTGTGTTGCTTTATATATTATATACATACACATATATAAACAATCCAAGGACCAAGAATCAACAATTCATAACTAGGAAAGCACAACATAACATACTTAATACAAGTTAAAAGTTAATAATAATAATTATTAAATAAAGAGTATGTCAGCAAACTCCAAGAAGTGACAAAATGTCATCAACAAATGTTTTTATAATAAACCAGAAACAAGAGAAGACAAGGAAATGGGTTAATGTGGGGTGGGGTGGCCCTACTCGGACCACACTAGCTGGGAAATCTCCCTCAGTGCTGTCTTTTTGACACCACAAGAATCCCTATATGTTTGTCAGCTCTAGGCTTCCAAGAGCATGCATCAATTAAAGAAGCAGTGATTATATATTCCCTTTTGAAGAACTGATCCTTGATATTTCTTTGCTTTTATTAAAAAAAAGTTTTGAGCCACTCTCATTTACAAAGATACTAATCTCATTTCTGGGACTGTTGAATACAACTGTTTTGAATAAACATGTAAATTGATCATTGATTTCTGTTTTATTTTTATTTTTTTAATGACGAAAGCAAAAAGAATACTTCATTCGAATAACCTAAAATCACATGCATGCCTGTGCTGCTGCCCGTGGTACTGTAAACTTCCTTAGCTCATGGTAATCTGGAATGCACTTACTTTGTGAGGAAGCCTTCTGTCTATCTTCCCATGCCATAAGCATAAGTTACTTACAACCACCTGCAGAGCGTGTTGGCAGAGTTGCCCAGCATGTGGCTTCTCTCTTCCTTGAGGTTGTTTTCAGCAGCAGGTTTGTTCAGAACTACAAAGAGGCGAGAGGAAAATGCCTCATATGTGATCTGCCAATTCACTTGTTTTTAGCCGAACCAGAAAACCACCTCTTCTCATGTAATTAAATGTCATGGAAATCGAGCTGATGATATCCTGTGATGGGGTGTGTATAAGAAAAGAGTCAGTTCACTCAAATTCTAAGAAATTATTAAATTATAATAATCAAAAACATGTTTTCTCAATTAACTTTAGTTTTTATCAACCCAGGCAGATTTGATTTAATTTACCCAGGTTTTCATATATCCATCCCTGAGATTTCTCCCTTATTACATTGAAGATGAATGGAATGTCTTTGTGGTGCTAACGGCCCACATAGTCAGTTAGCCAACTCATGTGGAATAGATTAATAAGTAAATATTGAGTATGTTTGCAGCAAGAAGGTTGTGGGTTCAAAACCCGGTTGCCCCGGCCTTTCTGTGGAGTTTGCATGTTCTCCCCGTGTCCATGTGGGTTCTCTCCGGGTGCTCCGGCTTCCTCCCACCATCCAAAGACACGCAGGCTGGGTTAATTGGCGTCTCCGAAATTGTGGATGTGAGTGGTTGTCTGTCTATGTGTGGCTCTGCGATGGACTGGCGACCTGTCCAGGGTGTAACCTGCTTGGCTCTAGCCCCACAACCCTGTATGCAGGATAAGTGGTGGATGGAGAATATGTTTGCTGTCTTTCATTGCCCCACACAATGCACAGTGGGGAGAGACAGTGCTAACTTCCCCTAGAACGGGGAGGTGGGGCTTTTGAAATGCTAACAACAGCCGCCAGCAAGTAACAGCTTAGCTTTCAGGTGAGCAGTGTGGCAGCAGGCATGCAGCGAAACAGTGAGAAGAGCATTGACGGCTGAACAACCTCGCCATGATTAAAAGGGTGCGTTTGATACATGATGCAGTGAAAAGACTATTACATGTGAGAGTAGAGGAGGACTGGAGTCAGGCTGCCTGAACTGGCTCGCAGGCTTCGCTTCAATGAACTTTCATCTTACAATTGGGGGGATAATAAACAAGTCAGTCATTATTTTTGGCCAACACAAAGCAGTAGTTGTTCAAATACGACTTCACAGGTTCACAGGGTCACCACATACTACATACTATCCTAAATAATTATGCATAGAGGTTTCTTCTGGGACAGAAGACGTCTTTTACGTAGATATTTAACTGCAGCAAGCCAACTAATCTGCCACTTAACATCATAAAGCGCAAAACGGTTTTGCGGAAACCCAACACAACGGTAGAGCTACGGTACTAACCTATTATCACTTCACACACAGGCACAGATTACATTTTTTCCTGGCTGATTCCAATAACTGATTTTATAAAGATCTGACTTTTTATTGCCCAAATCTGACTTTTTATTGCCCAGTTTGCGTTTGTATTGTTTTACTATTTACACAATTATTCTAAGTATATGTTATTATATTATTTATTGACATATTAAATAATATAATGATTTCCACCAATGCTTACAAAAAAACATGAAATTTTAAAATTCAACCACAACATTTCTTTCTACAAATATTGTGCCTGTTACTTTGGATAATTCACAGACCTTGCTGTAAACTGTTCTTATTAGAATAAATTTCTAACAAAGAAATAGTCCCTATGAAAATTGTTGACAGCATGGCTAGATACCACTAGACATACATTTTTTGGGGGGGTTGTTTTTGTAAATTGGCCAAACACACCCCTTCACATTATTGTGGGTTTGATCATACATATGACATTGACTCTGTCTCTCTCTCTCTCTGGCATAATTTCTATCGCGCTCTGCTGTGTATTGAAATACTTCAAAGTCATCTAAAAATAACTTACTTACCTGGAGGAAACCAGGAAATAGTCTGGAGAGGCCATCAATGCCAAATGCTTTGTTGTAGTAGTTGAATTACAACAAAGAAATAACTACTACATTATGCTTTCAAACAATTATGCTTGGTCAAACAAATGAGCATTTATACATGCAGCCTTTCATTTTAAGACATACAGCATATAAAATGTATGTGTTGTAATCACAAAAAATACCTTGTTATCATGAAAGCAATGCATATGATGGTGTGTTTGTTATCCTGAATACTGTAATGAGCCTCCTTCAACCTCTAATTTCTCTGAAATCACTGCAATTTACTTTTTAATGGATGCTGGAGGGCTGGTTCCTGAATGATATCTGTCTATCTGATGTCACTTTCCACATGCAAATGATGAGCCACTAAGCAAGGCTGTAGTTCCTGGTAGAAAATCAACCCCCACCCACCCACACAAACACACACAAACACACACGCACACACACATACACATATTCACCATTGTTTCCTGAAGAAGGAGCACAGATGATTTGGGCCTTAGGCCTTAGGCAGATGAAAGACAGGCAACGATTGCATTGACACAAGGCTGACAGGATGGGTTTGTTTTATAAGTAATGGTAGAAGAATGGTAGGAGCAGGGGAAGAATTTTATAGGGCAGAGTGGGTAAGTGGGCCCCAACTACTAGCCTGAGGTTCAGAAATGTGTTTATCTGGCTCGGCACAGGGTGCTTCTGGTCATTACTGTGTCTGAAAGTGTGTCTGGTACAGTATGTGTAGGTTTGTGTCTGTGTTTTACCAGGAATGTTAATAATTTTTTATTACCCAAACAAGAAACAATAGATGTAGCATTACAATATACTAAATAGTATTTCCCCCTTAAATTAGATTGTTTTATTTCTGTTTGTTTTAAACAAAGAAGCAAAGGAGAAACTGCGAGTAAGCCAAGATTTGTGGACTTTGACATTGAATGTTAATGCTCCGTATTTGTATACAAATATATATCTGTAGGGTGCAGGACCTGAGGGAGCTGGGGGAGCTTTCTCCACACTGGGACAACTTAAGAAAAGAGGTGATCACACGATATGGAGGAATCATCAGCTCCTACCAGGAGACTTTGGCAGAACTGGACAAGATTACTGGTATGACTGCACCTGCACCAAATTTTGTGTCCACACATGCATTCATGTACACACCTACAAATGTGTTTTAATCAAAATCATACAAACACAATTGCTTATGAAATAGTTCTAAACAGACCTGAACTGGTCATCGGGAGCACTGAGAGAATTCCCGGTGGCCTGGGAAGCTAATTGGCCTGGAGTATCAGGCTAGTGTACTGTCATCACACACAACTGGTGGCATGCACTTATTCATCAACACAATGCTGAAGTTGTGGCCAAGGACATGGATGTATTAAGAGAACTAGATACAGTGTCAGAGGTAGGGCCCTGTTGATTCCTATGAAAGTTGCTCTTTGGTGCATGAAGCCAAAAAAAAACAGTCCCGGCTTTAAAGACATTTCCCCGGATGAACGCATAATGTGCATGCTCTATGGGCCTCAGCACCCATTGAGCAAGCGCACCAGAAACAGTCAAGCTGGCTAACTTCCGGTTAAGACTTTCCAAATGTCCACCATTTTACAGCCCCTTCTTTCACAATATAAATGGGGAAAACTATTTTTGGGCTAGTGTGCATCATGTGACGGACCCAGAAGTTTTTATTACACAGTTCCCCTTCGAGGGAACTCGAACTGCGTCGGTGACGACACTATGGGAACGCCTCTGGGCGTGGCAGGGCTGAATTATGAATGAAACTACTCCAATCCTATTGGTGTTGCTAGAACGGTAGCGTGTGACGGCGTAACCGGAGGCGTATATAAGCACTATTTGAATCACCAGGGGGGTCTGCGCTCGCACCCGTTATGCAAACTGGCACATCAGATCCTCCTGTGGTCCCAGCAGAGACTGCTGTCCCTCAGAGCGATGTACGTCCCTGGGACCCAGAATCAGGGAGCAGACCTGCTGTCGAGACAGGGGCTGAGGCCCGGGGAATGGAGACTCCACCCTGAGGTGGTGGAGCTATTATGCGAAAGGTCCCATAGATGTGGACTTATTTGCATCTCGGGTCCATCAGGACGGCATTATCCTACTACTAGTAGCCCCGTTTTGGCCGGCATGAGTGTGGTTCTTGGATATAATATCGCTCCTGGAGGGCCCGCCCTGGCAGGTCCCTCTGAGGAGAGACCTGCTGTCCCAGGCGGAGGGCCGGCTCCTTCACCCGCACCCCACCCTGTGGCAGCTGTGGGTCTGGCCCCTGAGGGGGCGCAGTTCCTGGAGGCGGGCCTAACGGCAGGAGCGGTCAAGACACTACTCAGCTCTAGAGCCCCATCCACGAGAAGGATGTACGGCCTGAAGTGGAATGTGTTCGCCACCTGGTGTAGAGAACGGGCGGTGGACCCAGTTACCTGCTCGGTAATTATGATACTGGAGTTCCTCCAGCACCGTTTCTCCGTGGGCCTCTCCCCGTCCACGCTCAAGGTGTATGTGGCTGCCATTGCAGCGTTCCACACCCCTCTGAGTGATGTGCCCCTGGGGAGGCTTCCACTGATCATGCGCTTCCTCCGTGGAGCCCAGAGGATGAGACCCGTGACTCGTTCCAGGATTCCCACCTGGGACCTGGCAGTGGTTCTCGAAGTGTTGCTGCAGGGGTTTCATCCCCCACCTCATGTGACGGTGGAGGACGGGATACTTCATCTGCTCTGCCCTGTCAGAGCGCTGAGTATTTATACTCTGGGGTCTTCCCGGTGGAGGAAAGCAGACCAGTTGCTGGTGTGTTTCGGGTCCCCCAAGGCTGGGCTCCCCGCTTCTAAACACACTATCAGCAACTAGATCGTTCAGACTATTTCCCTGGCCTATCAGGTGCGCAGTTTGCCTTCACCTATGGCCGTAAGGGCACACTCTCCTCGAGGCATGGCAGCTTCTAGGGCCTTCCTCGCAGGGGCGTCGCTCCAGGATTTGTGTGACGCGGCTGGCTGGGCCAACCCTCACGCTTTCATCTGGTTTTACAGTCTGGACCTTCCTTCTGCACCCGGCACCCGTGCGCTCTCCTCTTAGTCGTGCCTCAGGTTGCACACTGGGGGCAGGCGGGTTTTCGGCGCAGCCTAAGTGGGTATCTCGTTCCCATAGTGTCGTCACTGACGCAGTTCTCAGGTTACGTATGTAACCCTTGTTCCCCGAGAAGGGGAACGAGACACTGCGTCGGTCCGCCACACCTCACCCCGCCTGGAGTGCCTTGCTTCATAGAAAAGGGCTAATGTGTCCTGTGTGCCAGCGTGCTTATATACAACACCAATAGGATTGGAGTAGTTTAATTCATAATTCAGCCCTGCCACGCCCAGAGGCGTTCCCATAGTGTCGTCACCGACGCAGTGTCTCGTTCCCCTTCTCGGGGAACAAGGGTTACATATGTCACCCAAGACGTTTTCCCACTATGCCAAATGAAAAGGGTCTATCTGCAGCCTTGCAGGCTGAACCACACACCAACTTTACTGCATGACACACACCCTGAGATAACTTCCTGGATTAACATAAATATTTTAAGTGATTCTAACACAAATCTTTTCCTTAACCTAACCAAGTAGATTTGTTGCCTATACTTAACTAACCTGCGACTGTTTCGAGGGTGGGTCCTGTGGTGGTGTTTATTAAAAACAAACTAGCAGGACCGCCCTATCTTTCCCGAGCTGATTCTATGTTTAATAAAACATATTCATGCTATGTAGAAAAGCAGGAGATGCGTATGCATGGACATAATCTGGAAAAATAAAAACATATATTCTCTTTTCTATCAGGTGTCAGTATCTCCAGTTACTCAGAGCTACCAGCACTTCATGAATAAAAACATAAGTCAGGTGCAATGCAAACACAAAAATTATATATATGAATATTTATTCCTATTTTTAATTATAGAAGTTCAGTTGACTAACTCTTGACACTGAAGACACTTGGCTGTTATTAACTATTTTGGATGTTTTTTAACTAAAGGTGAAAGAGGTTACTGACATACAGCAACAGTAAACAGAAAAAAATCGACAAAGTGCTTACAGTATATGTGGTCTGTTGTGAATGTTGTGCATTAACCCACCCGCCCCTGGTTCTAAGATGGTTGGCATGTCCTTGGTTTCATAGCTGTCTCAAATGGCTTTGTTCACATATGATTGCCCGGATTTTCTGGTCCAGTAAATGAAAATCACTTATTTCTCTTCATGGTTTGTCCTTGGATAAACCAAACACCTTATTTATTTTTATCCACTGTTTTTTTTTTTTTTTGTTCACATCTCGCCAAAGAATTGTAATGCAACATTTTGCATACCGTTTTACTGTGAAAAAGTACAAGTAGATCTTCTGGCTAACGTTTGCAGATGGCCCTGTGTACCTAATCAATCAACCAAATCTTTCTCTTTTCAGTAAAATCAGTAAGAAAACTTAAAATGTCTTTCTTTTAAAAAAAAACAAACATCAGTGTTGGTAGTAATATAGAGGCATTATGGAAAAACCAAAGTAAATTAGTGATTAATATAATGTTGGCTCCTTTATAACCTGATCATAGCTCAAAACACTGTGGCTGCCCCTGACCTGTTAAGTCCAGAAAGTGAGGACAATTTGGGGTTAAAGAATGGATTCTGGGTGATTTGTGTCAATGACGAGTGTATTGAGAGATTGTTTCATTTATCTTCTTGCTGTGAAAGGGATTCCATAGCAACGCAGGTTTCATCAGGGGCAATTTAAATGTATATTTCTATACCCTCTTCTGTGTTTTGGTAAAGTAAATGTGTGCACATAAAAACTGATACAAATCTCTGCCATTTACATACAAAAAGATGAGTCTTGCATCTCATTTACAAATATTCAGTGTTCTACTTGGTATGCAAATGTTTTTTTTCACAGTTTTTGTAAATGTTTTAAATAATAATATGAATCCACACAGTTAGCTCTAATGTGAACACAGAAAGTAATTAGGCTGTTCCTCATCTGTCTCTGACACTGAACAAGGAAACATTGGACATGTGATTATGTCACAGAATGCCACTGATAATGGGGTGTTTGAAATGTATTTAGAAATATATAGGTGATAGAATTGTTGGGTTTAGTTTCATTACTCAAAAGCAGGATGAAAACTCACAATAGGTATTCAAATGGATTCAAGTCAGGTGATTGGTTGGGCCATTCTAGCAGCTTTATTTTCTTTCTCTGAAACCAACTGAGAGTTTCCATGGCTGTGTGTTTGGGATCATTGTCTTGCTGAAATGTCCACCCTTGTTTAATCTTCATCATCCTGGTAGATGGCAGCAGATTTTTATCAAGTGTCTCGGTACATTTTTCCATTCATCCTTCCTTCACTTATAAGAAGTTTGAAAAACAGCCCCACACCATTATGTTCCCACCTCCAAACTTCACTGTTGGTATGGTGTTTTTGAGGTGAGGCAGTGCCATGGCAGTTGAGTGCACTGTGGATTTGTTTCTTAAATAATATCTTCCTATGAATATTTAGCTTGCCGTGGACATAGGAACATTATGGCTACTGATTTATTTTACACTGATTTACTCTCATCCCCAAAATGAGATATTAGTATCTGCTGCTTTTTGCTTTTTCCAACTGGTGAAAAATGATGGTGGCTATAAGCCTCTGCACTGAACTCTGAGTGAAGGAGTTAATGGTGATCGCATAATGTGGCGTTGGCCATTACGGTTCCTGACAAGTCCCTTGTGTGTCCCAGATGCTGCAATACATGGAGGAGCCCCTTCCCAACTCAACACTCTAATCCAGCCCTGCATTAACTTAACAGGATGACAGACATTGCTAAACAAATTGGGTGGGCAAGCTGCTGCAGATTAATTATTGATGAGTAATATAATTTTAAAAAGGGGGGAGTAGAGACAAAAAAAGAGACAGAGTGTGGAGGTGGTTTGACTGTGAGGACCAGTGGGTGAGCAAAGACAGGAGAGACAAGGAATGAGAAGATAATTTCTCAAACTAAACAAATGGTAATAAGAAAAATCACAGAGCACCATTGTTCTCTTAATTTGTATGCCTACAAATTGTTGCTTTATAAGCTAAATCAATCAAAAAAAGATATGCT